CTTGGGTCAGACTGTACAAGTTCCACATTTACATTTACTTCTTTTGGGAAGCAAAGCTTTGTACAAATTTAGCATTGTTGATAGTGTACTAAAATTAGTTTTATTTCATAATTATAGAAATTGTATATATGATGTATGAGCCAATTTGGTGTAATGGTTAAGGCATCAACTGGGAGACTGTGAGTTTTAGACCTGCCTCAGGCATGGAACCAGCCAGCACCCTCTCTCAGCTCTAGGAAAGAGACAATAGCAACAGCAATAGCACTTAGATTTATATACTGCTTCATAGTGCTTTACAGCCCTCTCTAAGCTGTTTACAGGGTCAGCATATTGCCCTCAACAATCTGAGTCCTCATTTTACTGACCTTGAAATGATGGAAGACTGAATCAACCTTGAGCTGGTCAGGATTGAACTCCTAGTAGTGAGCAAAGTCAACCTGCAATACTTCATTATAACCACTATGCCATCACAGCTCTTAATAACAAACCATGTCCCCAAAACCTTGCCATGAAAATTGCAGGGATTAGGTAGTCACCAGGGGTCAAAAACTGTCACAAAGGCACATACACAAAATAATAATTAAAAATTCTGTGTTCCTTCCCCTTTATACTTTGTTTCAGTCAGATTACTGATATAGGACTCACATGCATGGGCTATGTATAGGCCATTCTCTTACAAACATATCCAGAGACTCAGAGCCATTCAATCTTCATCTAACATTTAAGTCTTTGTTACCTGGATAGTGTTAATGTAGTGTTCACCTCCTTATCCTGACATAAGTTTCACTGAAGATGCAATCTGACACAATCTGCCAGGTATTCTGTTGGCTGTGTGTTCACATAGAATTTGGGGGAATGAGATTAGATTGACAGGTCTTGGCAACTTTAGACTGGCATGGAAACATTGCTTCTTGTCCAGTCCATAAGGATTCTCTAGCAGGGCCATTTTCTAGAAAAAGAGTCTAGATATTTCAAACTAGGTTCTTCATTTGTTTGCTAACTCTCCAAGTTGATCTGAGTGAATTTGGATCAGTCTGTGATTCAACTCACCTAATGAAGTAGGAAAGAGACACAGTTCTCTTTTGACTGTATCCTAAGGCAATTCTCCCATCCTTGTCATTGTTGTTTAGGCCAAGGCTTTTCAGCCAGTGGTACGGGTACCACCTGTGGTACATTGGCACCTGGCAGGTGGTACGTGACCATCCTAGAAAAGTGATAACAGGGGAGGGGAATGAGCTGAACCGATGGCAGCACTGCACAAGCCTGAGTGAGAGATGACTGGAGCTGCAGAGCTGTCAGGGCTCAGTGGAAGTGCCAGGATCAGCGCCAGGCTCTAGCTGGAGCTCAGCGCTGATCCTGGCGCTTCTGCTGAGCCCAGAAGAAGCGCCTATCAGCTGGAATGTTGCAGCATCTCCAGGGTCTTGTGATTACATTCAGATGCTTGGCAACTGATTCATATTTATGATGGTCTCAGTGTCCCAGGGTCATGTGAAGTGACCAAAACCTGCTGCAACCACTCAGCAGACGGAGGGAATAAAAACCAAACACCCCTCCATCCCACCCCTACTGCCAATCCTCAACAGAAATGCTCAGAACAATGAAAACCTCGGACAGGAGGAAGAGGCGGCCGGGCGGGCAGGCAGGTATCTTGCTCGGCTGTGGCTTGGGGGGGGGGTCACTTTTTCAGTGCCATTGTAACTGGCATTCAAACAGTCATTAAGCGAACTGTTGTAAGTCGAGGACTACCTGTACTTCATCAGATGTTTCCTTTTTTTTTTTTTTTGGTCATCAAGTTTTTGACACTTGCTAGGCTACTGATGGTACTCGGATATTGCCATATCCTAAAAGTGGTACAATGGTTGAAAAGGTTGAAAAGCCCTGATTTAGGCTGCAATTGAATTTGGGTTCACCACTTTTCTGGAATAGCATTAGATCTCTCCCTCAAAGGACCCTAAAAATGTCAATTGATTATCATCTGATAACTGGGGTGCCTTTGAACAAGCTTGCAAAACATTTGTGTAAACCCAAGTGAGCTTTATCAGATACAGTAGTTAAACCTACCATTCTGAGCAATTGCCAAAACTTGCCTCCTCCCTGGTCTCAGCCCCATTCAATCTTAAGGAGGATGGGGGAATAGTTTCCCTTCCTTGTTGGGCAGCAAGGGAAACAAGTGAAGCGTAATCTACCTAGCCCGTCTTTAATATGCCTTATATACCATAAAAATGGACAGCATCCTTTGACAGCATCATATTCCACAGTAGGATTGTCAGTAGGCACAGCAAGTTTGACAATGGTATAAATACAATAATAAACAGTGTTGGAAGAGACTTTGGAAGTCCAACCTCCTGCTCAAGCAGGAGATCCTATACCATTCCAGATAAATGGCTGCCCGGTCTCATCTTAAAAGGCTCCAGTGATGCAGCACCCACAACTTCTGAAGGAAAGCTGTTGCACTACTTAATTGTTCTTAATGATTGTAGGTAAGAATCCGCTACTAAATTTCAGCTGCAGATCTTTCCTTAAATTTATTTATTTATTTATTTATTTATTTATTTATTTATTTATTTATTTATGAGATTTATATACCGCTTTAAGTGCAAGCACTCTCTAAGTGGTGTACACCAGTAAGCAATGTAGATATATATATATTTACATTGCCCCCAACAATCTGGGTCCTCATTTTACCTACCCCGGAAGGATGGAAGGCTGAGTCAACCTTGAGCTGGTGAGATTTGAACCGCTGACCTGCTGAACACAGTCAGCTAAAATGGCCTGCAGTACTGCACTCTAACTGCTGCGCCACCTCGGCTCTAAATGCTTGTCTCAGGAGTAAATCAGCAATGCAATTATTGTTCTGTTCATATACATATCTGTACTTTATACTTTCCTAACTCCTTTTTGTCTTTTGAAGAGAGTAACACATGCTCCTCTACTTGCAGAAGAGAAACAATGGGCAGGAGGGGTACTTCAACTTTCTTTCAGTAACAATTCTAAGTGCTGTGACTAGGTAGTTGCAGGCCAGAAGATAGTGGACCACAGGAAAGTGATGGATAGAAGCAAAGGCTATTATATTTCTTTGTCTTTAAATCTGACCTTGCTCTCTTTTCCAGTGTGCACAGCAGCAACAATGTCCCTGACTGAGAATCTTAAAAATTCTGAAATTCCCCTTCAGCTTCCATTTAACAACACCCCCCCCCCCCCCACCCCCAGTCTTCCTAGGCTTCACAGAGAGCTGCTTCGTGGATACAGTTCCAAACAAGGCTGAGGAAGATATGAGGAATGGCCAATGGCTACACGCTGTTTGAATCAGAGTAAATGTCTTGGATGGAAATTCCTGCTGAGCTCCATGTGGATGCCAGAAAATATTTGTTTGCTGTCCATAGTCAGATCAGCAGCTAGTTTTCTGGCTACACCATACAGTATTTGCAAAGCGAGTCACTGTTCTTAGAAAGGTTGATAAACTATGTTTGAGTTGATTCCATTTCTATTGCATTTATGGATAGCTTTAAATGCCAAGACAGAAACTGTGGTGGTATCTGTAAATTTAGCTTGATTAAGCCATGAAAACTTTGGCAGTTGGGAACTTTTTGTATTGAACATATAAATGACAGTAGAAACATACAAGTAGGTATTTGAAGAATCAGATCCAATTTCAGAATATTTGTTTGTGTGTGTGTATATGTGTGTGTGTGTGTGTGTGTGTGTGTGAGAGAGAGAGAGAGAGAGAGAGAGACAGACAGACAGACAGACAGACAGACAGAGATGGAGATTAGAGACAGAGAGAAACATAGAGACCCACAGAAACAGATAATAGAATTGTGTCTCTAGTTAACAAGTTTCAGGATTAAGAAAAAAGTTTGATAATATTTTTTTTAATAATACAGCTGTTGGTCAACTGTGGGGAGGAGGCGGGGTCTGTGTATAGGACAGTCCTTTTGTGGGATCTGCTATACTAGGGCAGACTGATTATGGAAGAATGGCACGGACCTGAGAAATTGTTTGAGCACTTTGTTCTCTGGACGCAATCTCATTAAATCAAGATTTCATTATGCCAAACTAGACCTACATTGTGCCTTCACTCTAGCAAATTTGCAGCATCTTTCAGACCCTTTATTTATTTATTTAATTTTATTTATATGCCGCCCAATCCCAAAGGACTTTATGTGGATGTTGTTTGTCCAGAATTTAGAAAATAGTTGTTTTAGAGCCAAATCAATTGCTTGGCTTCCTACCATTTACCTGGGATCCTGATTCCAATCAGCTCCTCTCTTGTTGCCAGGGCTCTTTTCTGATGATGAATGTATCATACCAGAGTATAAAAGTCTACAATAAGGATCTTGATAATATCCTATGACCCAGATTTAGTCTCCAAGTCCTCTTTCAATAGCTTCCAAAGCCCCCCAAATAAGAAGCAATATACGCCTCCAATAAGATTAACACCTATTTTATTTTTTACTGTTTTTATTTTGGACTGCCATGCTACTAGAAGTCCCTGGAGGGTGATTTTAAAAAAATATTTGATGCAAAAATGTTGCTTTGTTTTTAGATAGATGGATATATCATCCCCATCACTAAATTGTTTACTTCATGGTACAGATACACTTAGTGTTTTATTTCCCATTTCAATTACCCTACTTATATATATATATATTTAGTCATTCACTCATTCAATTTCTATAGCTGCCCAACTCAACCAGTAGCTTACAATTCTAAAATGATAAAACAATGTATATCATAAGAACAGTAAAACAGTAAAACATTTTTTGTTAATATTTGCTATAGTTTTGCTAGTTGAACTGAATGTCACACAATGCTCTGATCTGGGTATAGGGATTAGATGTGTGCGAACTAAACTGGAAATTACTCACCGGAATTTTCCAACATGGATCTGGCACACTTTGGAAAATTGGCAATCAACTCTTCTTATACCATTTAGGTACACATGTATAATTAATACAGTGATTGAGTTAAATTAAGTCAATTGTTTTTCAAAATTACAGGTTCAAGAAGAGAGCGTTGTGGGTATCGTATCGTTCGCCGTCATCGCAATCCAGAAGATTTGGTGCATTGTGTAGGCAAAGGGAAAAAGAATAATGACAGTATGATCCAAGCAAAAGAAGCCTTGGGCAATGCGCTAAGCCCAGAACAGTTTGTCTCCATATTACTTGAAGCTGAACCACCAAATGTGTTGGTGAGCCGCCCCAACAGGCCATTTACAGAAGCTTCCATGATGATGTCCTTGACGAAACTTGCAGACAAAGAGTTGGTCCATATGATTGGTTGGGCGAAAAAGATCCCTGGTAAGGAATTTGAAAACTCCTTTGTTTAGAATGGAGCTTGTGCTAAATGACATTTAAAAAATAAGTATTGACAAAAATATATATTTTTTAAACAAACCTTAGGGCCTACAACAAGAAAAGCATATCACACATTGCATTGTTATTTAGTAATACAACTTTGGTAAGGCCATTGTTGTGGAACAAAAGTAGAATCACAGAACATAAGATTTCACAGGATTAAGGAAACCATCTATAGTAGTCTAATCTACTTGGGACACAGCAACGGTCCTAAATATGAATCAGTTGCCAAGCATTCCTAATCTGAATTTTGATCTCATAACCATAGGGATGCTGCAAAGGTCGTAAGTGTGAAAAGCAATCATAAGTCACATTTTTCAGTGCCATCGTAACTTTGAACGGTCACTAAATGAACTGTTGTAAGTTGAGGACTACCTATATCCAGTTCCTGCAACCATTGATTGTATATTTTAGACTCCAGATTCCAGTCCCCTAATCATCTTTGTTGCTCTATTCTGCATTCTTTCTAGAGTCTCAATATTTTTTTTGTATCATGGTGATTAGAACTGGATGCAGTCAGTGGTGGGATTCAAATATGTGAACAACCATTTCTCTGTGTGGATGCCGATTCCGGAAGTCCATTCTGGGCCTGGGCAACAAAAAATTAGCTGCCGGTTCGGCCAAACTGGTGCGAGCTGGCTGAATCCTACCATTGGATGCAGTATTCCAAGTAGGGTCTTATCAAGGCAGTATATAGCAGCACTAATACTTCAGGTGATTTTGATACTTTCCCTCTGTTGATGCAACCTATGTCTGTATTGGCTTTTTGGGCAGCTGCAGCATATGTAAGTGGTGGTCCACCAGGACTCCTAGATCCCTCTCACAGTTACTGCTGTGGAGCCAGATAACAACTATTCTACACCTGTGCATTTGGTTCTTCTTGCCTAAGTGTAAAATCTTACTTTTCTCACCACTGAATTGGATTTTGTTGGATAGGGCCCAGTGATATATTTGGTCCTTTTTGTTCCAAGTAGGCAACTTGGGGTCCCTGAGGGTTTTTTTTTTTTTAAAAAAAATAACATTACACTTAGAACCCAATTTCCTGTTTTGGAAAGATTTTTACCCATTTGTATTAAAAACTTGGATTTCTCTACTGCTTTCTTTAGACAGCAGTGGCTTCCCAGTGTGAGGAAATAATCTAATAATCTAATCTAATAATAATCTAATCTAGATAACAAATGGCTTTTTCTGTCATTTGTATCTATGTGATTCTTCCTGCTTGTCTTTTAACTATATACTTCACCCAACGTTTAAGGTTTAATATTAAATATTCTCCTCTATAAAGAATATTTTTTTCAATTGATCTGCTATGACTGGTGCTGTTTCTAGTCTGCTTAAAAACCCTGGTTAGTTAATTTGATGGGGTTTTTTTTTTTACATTTTTAAAGTAGAAGTAATCCTAGCTCTATGAGAAAAATAGCTATAGCTAAATAATACCTTAAAAATAAGGTATTTTGATTTCTTTTTGTTGTAACAACATTAGAAGTAAGAGATAAGGAAGAAATAAAAAAGCCCCGAAACTAGACACAACTTTTAAATCATGAGATCTTTGGGGATGAATAAATAGAAACTCCATGTAGTTATTGCTGGCATCATATATGGATACATAAATCCGAAGCCCTTATTTACCAGCAATTATTAACAAGACCGGGTTAACTTTAGTGGAAGTCATATTCTTTTTCTTTAAGACTTATTCTCATTCTATTTGCAGATCCTGGGCATATCTTGAATCTTCAGATGGCTCCTATTTAAATATGGGTTGGACCATTTTGACTGTATATTGTGAGCAAGGTTTAATTCGACATTCAAGTAATGAAGTCAAAATAGCTAGAACTGTTGTAGCCCAGACTGAATAATAAAAACTCTACCAAAGAACAGTGGCATTACAAAATCAAAAGTTAAGAAGGGCCTTTAGGCCATCAAATCCAACCTTCTGCTCAGAAAATAGGTTTCTATTAAAGCATCATGACAGGTGGCTACACAGTTTCTGCATCTACAGGTAGTCCTCCACTTATAACAATTTGTTTGGTGACCATTCAAAGTTACACTGAAAAATGTGATTTATGACCATTTTTCCAAGTTACAACCATTGCAGCACCCCCATGATCATGTGAACTAAATACAGATGCTTGGCAACTGGTTCATCTTTATGACTGTTGCTGTATCCCAAGGTCATGTGATCACCTTTTGTGACCTTCTGACAAGCAAAGTCAATGGGGAGGCCAGATTCACTTAACAACCCCGGGCATTAATTTATCAACTGCGGTGATTCACTTAACAACTGTGGCAAGAACGGTCGTAAAATGGGGCAAAGCTCACTTAACAAATGTATCACTTAGCAACAGAAATTTTGGGCTCAATTGTGGTAATAAATCGAGGACCACCTGTATTTTATTCTACAGATATTTGACAGTATTTACAGTATAATCTACTCCAGTCCTAGTACAGAATGGGCAGGAGTCAACAAAAGAACAACTACATGATTCAAAGAACAGAAATATGAAGACAATTAAAACAACTGTTTTTTATTGTCAAAAGACTCTTCTAACATTCAACCATAATCAGTTCAGCATGGCGCCACAGCCACACAACTTTAGAGCTAGGATATAAAGACAATAATGCTTCAGACATTACTACAATAATGCCTAATATTGGTGACATTTACATACATAGAGTTTGATTTCAACATTTCAATTTGAGCATAGTTAACAAAATTTATCTAAATTTTTTCCTAAATGTTTTTTAAATAAAAAATATTTTGCAACTGAAAAACAAAGTATATGTTTTGTTTTGTTTTTAAAAAATGAAGGATTTACTTTGCACAAAAACAATACAGTAGCCAGTTGCCTTCCGCCTTTTCACTAAAAGTCTTAAATGAAATTTGGAGATATTGATGTCCTGAATGGGGGTCCTGATGATAGTAATTTTACTTTGATCATTGGAAAATTCTAGACATTCGCATTTCAGCTGGGAAATGAATCCACTTTCACTTTTGATTACTTTCCCTGCTTATTTTGTCACTCACAGTGATGGAGGTAGAATGTGTGTAATTCTGCTGCTCCTCCAATTCAATCCATTTTTGTAGTAAATGCACTTGTTATTTTTTTTGCTCCCACTTTAAAAAAACCCTCTGACTTGGATCCAAATATATTCATATTTAGAACAGCACTTTGAAATAAATCTGGCTTAATGTAACTGAAGTTCTACTGATTTTGATAGGTCTACCCAGTGCTTTTTTTGTTAAAAAAAAGGTGCCAGAACTCACATATGTCATACAACCCGCCTTGCCTACCCTACAAGCTTCCATTCAAAAAAGGCGCCAAAACTCCATTCTGGGCATTCTATGACAAAAAAAGCCTTGGGTCTACCACAGATATGACTATGCTTCCAAACCTCTTTTTTTTTTTTTTAACAAACATTTGTCTTCATCAATATTGTTTCATTTGTTTCAGAGTGGCCTGTTTTCTTTATTAATCTGACTCTCAGGCGAAACACTATCTAAATTCAACCTGTATAATCAAATTGGCATTCTGTATGTATATTGTAGGATACATCTGTGGTGAGAGAAAGTTAAAAGGCAGAATAGACGTGTGATCATATTAAAAAACTGATACTGCACATATTAACATAACCCTTTTTAGTCTGGATGAATGTTCACACAATACTCTTCTTACAAACTGGAGATGAATAACCTTTTTAGACTACACAATGAACGTCCTCTTTGAATACAGTGTCAAGGTAAAGTGTTAGTTTTAAATAAAATAAATTTAATAAATTCTATGCCAGATTATAATTGTTGATATCCATACGCTTAGTAGTTTTAATATTTTATCTCAATAACATTTATAATTTAGTGGCAAGTTTTTAGAGTTTGGAAGACTTTGAACTAACTTACAACATGATAAAAATCTGCAAGAAACAGCACAAATTAGGTTAAGAATAAGAAACCTAAAAAGGCTAAAAAGGAAAAAAAATCTAATTGTACAAATACTGTTTATATTTATCTATTTATTAAAATTTTACACTATCTGGCTCTGGGCAGCTTATAGATATTTTTTAATTTAGGTTCATGCAAGTAGTAGATTTTAAATATTTTTCTAAGAATATATTTCTAAATACATGTTTTATAAAAATGTATTTAATATCCCTTTCATTACTTAATTTTTTTATTAATTGGGAACCACACTGTAACATTTGAGAAAGTAGAACATCAGAAGGATAATTGTGGTCTCATTAGTCAAAAGCTGTAGATTAGATTAAATCTAATCTAATCTAATATAGGCAGAACAAAAGCCACTTCAGAAATGGAACAAAATATAAACTGAAGCAAGCTAGCAAATAAGCAGTAAATAAAGCAATAAAGTAATAAATAACTGAAGGAAGTAATAAATAAATAAATACTGTAGTGTTCTTACTGCTTAAATCTTCTTTCTACCATGTCATTCAATAAGAATCACTACTTACCAGGACAGATTTTCTTTAAAGGGAGCAATGAGGTTCATTCCACATCCTTATGTATAAATTCTTACAACCTTCTTTTTCCCCCTTTCTTTTCTCTTAAAAAAACAAAGCAAAACACTTTTTCATCTCTATCACGATGACTTCTTAAGTGAGTGGTTGATTCTCCCATAAGGTTTTGCTTTTAATGCCAGCTAGAATAGGAGACTGCTGCTGATTCATTTCTAATTAATGTGTGTGTGGCTCCTGGTCTTCGACTATAGCACAGATCAGGGGTGCAGGAGATCATTTGTGGTGTTCCCCATCCATGAATTTCCTAAATACGTCTTTTTTTGCCAGAGTTGTTAAGTGAATCGCTGCATTTGTTAAGTTAGCAACACAGTTGTTAAGTGACTCTGGTTTCCCCATTGACTTTGTTTGTCAGAAAGTTGCAAAAGGGGTTCACATGACTCTGGGACATTGCAACTTTCATAAATAAGAACAAGCATTTAAATTTTGATCACATGACCATGGGGATGCTGCAACAGTCATAAGTGTGAAAAATGCTCATAACTCACTTTTTTCAGTGCCGTTGTAACTTTCAACGGTCACTAAGTGAACTGTTTTAAATCTAGGACTACCTGTATTACTACAAAAGTTCTAGTTAAGATGTAACAGATGAAGGTTTGACAATGCATGGTAAAGGCTTATAGAGTGCTTTGGACAACGAGATGGTGACATATAAATTAATAAAGAAACAAATAAATAAATAGCTAATAGCTCTGCTGTTCTGCTGAGATTTGGGGAAGATCTTTTCCTAATCTGCAGTATTGTGGTTTATTTTTGTATGTATCTCCTTCTATTATTTCTGTCTTTCTTTATGAGCTAAAAATGTGGTGAAGTGCAGCATTGTACAAAAAGGAGACTTCGTTGCTGTTATTGTCTGCAGACTGAAAATACAAAAATAGTCTACCATTAAATTTATTACATGCATTCACTCTTCATGTTCCTAAGAAAGAACTTTTAGAAAAGCAATTGGTTTCTTTATCCATCATCATTTACCTATTTCATTTAGTAATAACTTCAGGGAGCTAAATACATATTAGTCTGGAAGTGAAATGGGAGCATTAGAAGAGCATACAAAATTGCAAATTAAATGCAGAAGAAAATGTTGAAGATTCCCTCAAAGGATAATTAATCTGATTCATGTGGATTCTAAAATACATGAAATATCAGTTGAGCTGCAGGAAAAAAATGGGAAATGAAGGCAAAATAGGGAAATACCTATTCAGGTCATAGATGTAGGATCAAATATAGTTTTGTGGTTCACTTCTTACATTGTCCCCATAAATACCTTAGCATTTTAAAGTATATAGAAGATTGACTTAATAAAAAACAATATACTTTAAATATGTTCCATCAATTAAACAATGTTACCCTTTGGGACCCAGGATCCTTATTGCCTGGAACTATACCCCCCCCCCCCGGGAGATCCATTATGTCATTTAGGAAATTGTTAAAGACCTGGTGGTCCTTTCAGCCCTTGGGGTAAAAGTGATTGCAGTTGTGGTTGGTTTATCCTTACCGTTTTGTTCTTCAGGTAATTGTTTTATTTATTAATAAATCATATTGATAAAGCCAAAATCCATATGTTTGCTACCCAGTATAGATAGTAGATGAAGGAAGGAAGGCTCCATCACTTGGAATCAACAGTTGACAAACTTCTAAGAATTGAGGTCATAGATTTTCTAATTTCAAGTGAATCAAGAAGATAACTTTTGAATTTTTAATAATTTTATAATGTTCTAAGGACAGGGAAGGAGTGTATACTTGGTATTCATGATGTAAGTATGCCTTCTCCTTTCCTTTCCTCCTTCTTTTAAAGGCTTCATAGAGCTGAGTCTATATGATCAAGTAAGGCTTTTGGAAAGCTGTTGGTTGGAAGTATTAATGGTGGGTCTAATGTGGAGATCCATTGATCACCCAGGGAAGCTCATATTTGCACCAGATCTTGTGCTTGACAGGTGAGAATTAAGTATTGTTGGACTTGCACGTATGTTTGGAAGTTAAGATTTGAATGAAAATGCATTAATAAGCAAACCCAATCTTTTGCTCTATTAAGGACAGCCCAAATATTTTCTCCTGCATGAACTATCATGGTTAACATTCAGTTCACCCTGCCCATCCTCTCCTGCAGATTTACTGGCAAGGCTATTAAAAGAAGCTTTACCAATTCCTTAACAAGTTTTCAGTTGGACAGGCTCTAGAAAGTATTTTGTAGCAGTCTAGGATTGCTAGGCTGGGCAATCTTTTTATAGCCACAAATCATTTTTTAACTACTGCTTTTTCAGATTGCAAGAAACCGTATAGGAGGCATAGTGGTGATTTCACTAGTCAAAACAAGGCTGGAATTTTTGGTCATTCTGGAAATATGTGTGGGATGTTAGGCTGAATGAAATATAGTTATTTTAGAAGGAAGTTTTAAGCATCAGAGCAGCAAGACAGAAAAAGAAACTGTTGGAAGCAAGAAAGTTAAAAGAATATGATCGTGAATTAGATTGTAATGAAGGTATGATTTCACCTTTTATAAAATAAACAAAGATAAGAATTTTGTGTTGAACACTTACATTTAATGCTTAAAATATGTACAGTGTACATAAAATATGAATCACTGAATAGAGACCAAATATGATTGTATGTTGGAATAAAATGCAGTATTTTGGTGGAAAGCATGCTTTGTATGTCAAGTAATCCTCTGACTATTTTCAAATTAGGGATGAGGGAAAATGTGTAGAAGGAATTTTGGAAATATTTGACATGCTCTTGGCAACAACTTCAAGGCTTCGAGAGCTGAAATTGCAGCACAAAGAATATCTCTGTGTCAAGGCGATGATTCTTCTCAATTCCAGTGAGTAGAAGTTTCAGTCATGTCAAGCTGTGCTTATTATTGCGACAAAAAGTTGGCTTGTGGTAGGAAAAATTCAAAGGACACAAAAGCTGTTAACATGAATGAAATGCTTTTCTGTTCCTTATATTATAATGGTTTTATACCTAAGACCAAGGTCACTATATTCAAATACAAATACAAACTTTATTGTCATTGTATGTGCATACACAGTGTACACATACAACAAAATTTACTTGACACCCAGAGACCAGGTCCCACACACATAATCTCCAAACACACTCCCACCCACCACAATTTCCCACCCCTAAGACCACCCAAACATCCACACAACAGACCAAGTAATACTGTCCAACAGTTCACTGATGGTGGCCCTTTAATTCATTGTTGAGTACAACTATGGCTCTGGGATAAAAACTATTCAGAAAACATGTGGTCCGAGTTTTAATTATTCTGTATCTTCTGAAACAGTCCAAAAAGATTGTAAGCAGGATGGGAAGAGTCCCTGAGAATGTTATACAACTTCCTCAAACAACGAGATTCGAAGATGTTGTCCAGGGCTGGTAGCTGAAATCCAATAATATTCTGGGCAGTTTTAATGATTCTCTGTAGAGCTTTTTTGTCCACTACAGAGCTACTTCCATACCATGCAAGAATGTCGTATGTCAGGACACTCTCAATGGTGCTGTGATAGTAGGACAGAAGTAGATGCTGAGATAAATTTATCTTCCTGAGCATTCTCAGGAAGTACAGCCTCTTCTGTGCCTTCTTCACAAGCATGTTAGCATTCATAGTCCATGAGAGGTCCTCTGAGATATAAGTGCCCAGAAATTTAAAACTACCCACCCTCTCCACCTCCTCACCATTTATGTACAATGGTAGATGTACATCTCTCTTCCTCCTGAAGTCAATTATAAGTTCTTTAGTTTTTGTGGTATTAAGTGTGAGATTATTTTCATTACACCACAATGTCAGCCCTTGTAACTCCTTCCTGTAAGCAGACTCATTGTTCTTATTAATGAGCCCCACCACTGTTGTGTCATCCACAAATTTAATAATTGTGTTGGTGTTATACAGTGGGGTGCAGTCATGCGTGTACAAGGAATAAAGGAAAGGGCTTAGCACACAACCCTGGGGGGCTCTTGTGCTTAATATCAGAGTAGAGGAATGGTGAGATCCCATCCTTACTGACTGTAGCCTATCTGTCAGAAAATCCCTTATCCACAAGCAAATCCTCTGATTTATACCCAAATTGGATATTTTAAAAAACAACCTGTTTGGTAAAATGGAGTTAAAAGCAGAGTTATAATCCACAAATAACAGCCTTGCATATGTCCCCTGTTGTTTCAAGTGATTCAATACAATATGGACAACAAGAGACATAGCATCATCAGTTGATCTATTATCCCTATATGCAAATTGGTATGGGTCCAAAGTAGATGGAAGACTAGCCTTAATATAGTTCAACACTAGCCTCTCAAAACATTTCATAACAACAGATGTTAAAGCTACTGGTCTATAATCATTAAGAACATACCACTACTGTCTGCTTAGGAACTGGCATATAATAGATGTTTTCAGGCAGGTAGGGATAGAGCACTGCAACAGGGATAGATTGAAAATATCCGTGAACACTTCAGCTAGCTCTGCAGTGCAGTCCTTGACAACTCGTCCCAGAATTCCATCAGGCCCAGCTGCCTTCTGGATATTAACATTCTGGAAAGTGTGTCTCACATCGGAGATCTGCAGTAAAAGTGGTTGTCTATCGATGGTAGATGTTAATGGTGCACTATCAGTGGTAAATGCTGGAATGATATTGTTCCATTCTGCAGGATTGTGAATGTGCGTCCAATTGTTTTCCTAGTTGTTTCTATGGAATTAAGTTTGTATATTCTAGATCAGTGTTTCTCCACAATCTCTGGGGGCTATTCCTTTGATTGACTCCCAGATACAAGATCTGATTATCAAATTGAGCATGTTACTTCTTACATTAAAAAATTAGGGTGTTAAAACATATTTTTCTCTTTCAAATTGGTGTCTCCTTTTATAATACATACACATACATGTGTATGCATGTACATATAAGCTGTCGCTCTTCCATTATCAAAAGCAATAGAGGACTCTTGTCACTAGCAGTTGTATTGGAGAGATGGGGCCTCCTTTACAGCCCAACAAGCATATGAATCAGTGAGGATACAGCTGTGCTTGAGAAACTAATCATCAGAATTAAACTCAAGTGCCTATCTGGTAGAAATGCTTCTAAAAGCTTTGAAAACATATTTGTATTCAAATTTTCAATTTTTATTTTAGGATAGCTCTCATTGAAAGTAGGTGAATTTCAAAACCTTTTAAATGGTGCCTGAATATATGAATATGATCTTTCTTTTGGTTTACTCTTATAATGAATTATGGCATTATCTTGAATGAGGCATTCATGTGAGTCACTGTTTTTCTATTTAAAATGTACATTGGGTATCAGTATTTTCAGAGTCATTTTCTTAACAACTGCTTAGTTAATTTAGCTGATTAGGTCAGCTAATTTGACTGAAATAATCACCTTTAGTGTTTATTGTTTTGCTCTAAAGCATTTTGTCTTGGACACTTCAGTGTGTATGGAGGAACAATGTAATGGGCAAAGAAAAGGTTGAATAAGCAACTATATTAAGAAGGAGATAGAGTGACAAAATGAATATATGCTGCAAAGTAAGCAGAGTTGCAAATTCTTAAAGCCCTTCCATGTTGTATGCTGCCATTTATAAACTGCTCTATATTTTCAACAACAGTTCTTCTATCTTTCGTCACAAAGAGTAGAAGCATAACCTTTTCTAACATTCTTTCTCCCTGTATACACACAATCCATATGATCCTTGAGGGAGACGGCAGTGTAGAAACATGAACTATAAATGAATAAACAATGAGTATTGAAGGGGCAGTTTGTAAAATGTATCTTCTGATGGGACAGCTGCAAGAGTAGTTAAATCTTTTTTATGAAACTGTTAACAAATGCAAAGAAGCCAAGAAAAAAAAAAAACCCTTGATGGCATATCAGCAAGCTATCAAAACTCTGTTCCAAGAGGCCCCTGAACTGGTCTGAACTAAAATTGGAAAGTTGGAAAGTAAGAAATAAGGCAGAATTACCAGTTATGCTGATTACCATAGTAGGAATTGTGTGACTTTAAGTCACAGCCTGGTATCCTGGAGAGGGTGCCAGGCTGTAAAATATGGTTGTTTGTTTGGTTGTTGGCTGATTGATTGATTAGCTACAAAACAACTTTCTTTTTAATCTGGTGGTTTTTTTTCTCCCAAGATTTTACATACATAGAATAAATGTATGTATGTAATAAATACTAATAAATACATAAAATATTTATGTTTGCTGTGTTTTTGTCAGTATGATCATTTGGTCTTATGACATCTAGATTTTTTTATCAATGCGAGTTGTACAACTTACATTGTGACTCATAAATAAAATATTTTATTAAAAATGGTCTACTGTTCTGATATCAGTACAATATAAATAAATTAATTAAAGTAATTAAATCTTAATGTTCATGCATTCTTTCATTCATGCATTAATTAATTAATTAAAGTAATTAAATCTTAATGTTCATGCATTCTTTCATTCATGCATTAATTAATTAATTAACCCCTTTATGGATTACTGCCTTGTCGTGGCGAAGGGGCTTGCGTAACTCAATGAAGCTATAAGCTATGCCGTGCAGGGCCACCCAAGACGGACAGGTTATAGCAGAGAGTTCTGACAAAATGTGATCCACTGGAGAAGGAAATGGCAAACCACTCCAGTATCTTTGCCATGAAAACCCCATGGACAGTACTAAAAGGAAAAAAGATATGACGCTGGAAGATGAGCCCCTCAGGTCAGAAGGTGTCCAATTTGCTACTGGGGAAGAGCAGAGGGCTAGTACTAGTAGCGCCAGAAAGAATGAAACGACTGGGCCAAAGCCGAAAGGACGCTCAGCTGTGGATATATCTGGTGGTGAAAGGAAAGTCCGATGCTGTAAAGATCTTTTCTCCATAGGAACCTGGAATGTAAGATCCATGAATCAAGGCAAGCTAGACTAGTCAAAAAAGAGATGACAAGACTGAACATCGACATCTTAGGAATCAGCGAACTAAAATGGACAGGAATGGGTGAATTTAACTCAGATGACCATCAGGTATACTACTGTGGGCAAGAATCCCTCAGAAGAAATGGAGTAGCCTTCATAGTCAATAAAAGAATAGGAAAAGCAATACTGGGATACAATCCCCAAAATGACAGAATGATCTCAATTCGAATCCAAGGCAAACCATTCAATATCACAATAGTCCAATCTATGCCCCAACCACTGGTGCTGAAGAGGATGAAATTGACCGGTTCTATGAAGCCCTACAGCACCTTATAGAATTAACACCAAAAAATGATGTCCTTATCATCATGGGGGATTGGAATGCTAAGGTAGGAAGCCAAAAGATAACCGGAATAACAGGCAAGTTTGGCCTTGGAGTACAAAATGAAGCAGGGCACAGGCTAATAGAATTTTGTCAAGAGAATACGATGGTCATAACAAACACCCTTTTCCAACAACCCAAGAGACGGCTCTATACATGGACATCACCAGACGGTCAACATAGAAATCAGATTGACTATGTGCTCTGCAGCCAAAGATGGAGAAGCTCTATACAGTCAGTAAAAACAAGACCAGGAGCTGACTGTGGCTCAGATTATGAGCTTCTTGTTGCAAAATTTAGGCTTAAATTGAAAAAAGTAGGGAAAAGCACTAGGCCACTCAGGTATGAACTAAATCATATTCCTAATGAATATACAGTAGAGGTGACAAATAGATTTAAGGAATTAGATCTGATAGACAGAGTGCCTGAAGAACTATGGATGGAAGTTCGCAACATTGTACAAGAGGTAGCAACTAAAACCATCCCAAAGAAAAAGAAATGCAAGAAAGCAAAATGGCTTTCTGAGGAAGCTTTGCAAATAGCTGAGGAAA